GCAAGGGCACACAAAAGATGCCTTAACTGGTGAAGGTAGACCTGTAAGCTAGAGGCCCTTGCCCAAAAACAAAACATGAGTAGAAAATTGGTAAGGTCACGGTCCATCTTCGTAGTGGGGTCTATTTTGGTCTGCTTTTTGTGTCCTATGTTTATGTTGTCGTATATCTATCATGGTTGGACTCACCCAAGTGGCAAAAATAAGAACTATGTGGCTATTGGGTAGCCCTACATGGATCTAACAACCTTGGTTTCTGTATGGCTGCTGAATGTTCCTATCCAATTCTCTCTGCTGTTGAGAAGTAACGTGCGCTTGCCTGTGTATCCTATTGGAAGATTCATCGTGAAGAATTTTTTTTTAAAAATATTTGGTCAGTTTCATTAATCGAAAGTTGTGGTATAAACAAAGCCACTTTTAACACGAAGATTTAATGATTAATTCCCACGAGGCATTTAGTCGTTTGATTTTGAAAATTAAAACTTTAGATGCTTCAAACCACTTTCAGATTGATTCAAACACGAAGATTGGGGCATTAAGTTATTGGCTATTTATGACTGACTTAAATACTGTAAAAAAAGCTTCAACCAAAAAAATAAAAACAAAAAAAAATAAAAACAAAGGAAAAGTTTGGGGAATTAATTCGAATGGATTGAATTTTTTTTTAAAAAAATATCTTCGTCCTACATTAAAAATAAAATTAATATTCGAAAGAAAAATAAAAAAATTTAATTTGTTTTAATAAGTGTAATTTTAAAATTTAAAATCTATACAATAATATTTTTTTATATAAAAAATTCATTTGAGAATCAATTCATTTTAAAATCAATAACTTGTTGATCAAAAGATAAATTGTTGAATATTTTTTTTTCAACAACTTGTACATAAACGACTTGAGTTTTCAACAACCAAAATATGACTCAACTACCAAAATATGACAAACCTCAAAAAGAAACGAGAAAAGAGACAACCTCTGATAGTGAGTATGAAATGTAATAGTCCCAAAATACTTCAATTTTGTTTTTGTGGTGAATGGTTGTAACACCCTTCCTCTCTCATCTATCTTATCTTTTAGGGACATGTTAAATGGTTAGATCAGTTTTAGAATTTTTATGAGGCGATGAGCCTATAATATCACATTAGATTTAATAATTAAAATTAAATTCATTTAAAAATTTATTTAAACATTGTGAAATATAGTATTCTTTCAATTATATATATTAATTATTCATTAATTATTTATTCGATACGAAATAAATTTTCTAACACAAAAATATTTACAAAATTACAAGTAAACCAAAGAGATTTCAATATATATATATATATATATATCATGCTTTTGTTAACCTGTTGAGATGAAGCTAAAATCAACACTTGATGCAAACAAGTCCATCGTGGTTCCTTTCCATTAAATTCTACGTGTCTTCGTAGAAAACTACCATCCTCAACTTGCTTATTTTTTTCTCTTCAGATTATAATACATATAAATGTAAATTCACAATATCGTGGATTGCAAATTGTACACATGTGCTACCATATTACAAAAATAAAAAATAAAAAAAATTGAGGTTTTAACTGTTCATGGATTGTTTATTATGACTCAATAGGCTGTTAACTAAGACTCAACAGCACTGTCCTCGCCTTATTGATCAGCCACCATTGTCGGCTCACCATATTGTTGTTGTTGACGTTCATTCAGCCGTTGGATCTCCCGTAGGATTTGTGTTTTAGAAACAACTTAAATATTTGACAATGCATTCGTTTTTGGTCCCTACAATGGTCGCTTTTCGTCCTTGTATCGATCTAAAGTTAGGTGCAATGGCTAACGTTATTGCTGAATTGAAATGATTTGAAACCCAATTCGGCTGACGTTGTTAACCACCAGGTTATTTATTTATTTAGTAAATTATAAATTAGAGTTTTTAGTTTTAAGAAAATAATTAACTATTTTATTTTGTTTGAAAAAATAATTATTTAATGTTTATATTTTTAAATTTTCTTATAAAACTTTATCGTTGTCGTTCCTTTTCAATTTTTTTTTGTTTTTTATTGTAAATAATAAAAAAGTAAAAGATATAAAAAAATTGACAAGAAAAAATGATTTTTTGAAAATAAACTAATATTTATATTAAGCATGATTAACACTGATTAAATAATTAATTTTTTAAATAAACAGAACTAATTAATTCATTTAAAAAAATAAATGCACTAATTTATAATTTACTCTATTTTTTGTTTGACTGTTTTTTTTTTCAAAAAAAAAACTCGTTTTGTCAGACGATGATTTTGAGAACATGGTAGATGTTTCTGATAAGAATTGGCCACCATTTTTGCGTAAACCATGGCCATACATTTGTTGAAATTAGGAAGGATATAATCGAAATATAGACAGAAAGTTTCACTTGTTTCTGCGGTCCAGACGATTCTCGATTTTGGGTGTAAAGTGTGTAGGGTTTGAGGTAGGTAAGAGAATTTGAGCACACCCAACTCCAAAACAATGAAAAAAAAAAAAAAAAAAAAAGAATGGAAAAAGATTTAAAGTATTGCCAGTTTACCTAAATAAGTTACTTCTGGCAACCCGATCTATGATTGTGTACAAACAATGGCTTTTTTAAGTGTTGAATCCCTAAAATTTATTCCAATTTCAATTCCATAGTTTGATGGTAAAACCAATGAGTCGGAAGCTTAGATCGCTTCCAATAGGGTCAAAAGCAAATTATGTAATATGAAATTTGGGAATTTGTGAAAAATTTACTTTTCACATCATATTTGAATTCTAATAATATATAATCACAGTTAAATTAAAAAAAGTACATCCCTTCTTCTTAATCAAGAAATCACTTTCTTTAGGTATATAATCACAACCGAAAATAACAGAATACATATTTTATGTTATGGTTGAATAAATTAATAACATTTTTTTTTATTTGGGTCAATATTTTAGTTTTTTTTTATGTTAATAAATAACATAAAACTTTAAGTAATATTTATAGGTAGACTAGAGATTTTTTTTTAACTTAATTTTTGTACTTGCATCTATCATTAATATATCTAGTTCATTACTAGAGTTCAATAGTCTCTAAATTTTTAATTATCTTTTATAAATTCTATTTAAAATAAATAATTAATATGAATTTAAAACAAATCAATACATATAAAGCACATGCACTAACAAATATGTTTCACATGTAAATATATTTTTTAGCAACAAAAAGGACTCCATTTCAAGATCTCTGAAAAAACGAACAAATAAAAAACTGGATAGACAAATAATTATGTAATAGTCAAGTCGTCTCTCGTTGAAGACTATACTCATCAAAAGACATGAAATTTCATGCCCATCAAATGCCACTGAAATCAAAACCATGAAATCTTCTTCTTCCTACATATATTTCCATTACATTAATTGATCCTAGGACTTAAGCTTTGCCAATTAGAAATGTGAAATTCTTTAGAATCTTTAGCTTCAAAGATGAACATGATTGGATGCTGTCACTTCAACTATAGTCAACACCCAGCTGCCATCAAGGTTATTACTCTTTACATATTACCTATTTTATAATATTTATCAAGGTTTAAGTATGAATTAAGGTTTAAGCATTGATTTAAAATATGTTTTCTATTAAATTATGTAAAAATCATGAATTTTTAAGATTTATGGGTATGATAAATTTATATCTTTTATTACGCATAAATGGTATCAGAGCATTCCTCATCAATCTTAGAACTTTATAATTTTCACATAATTAAAAAAAAAAACATATCTTAATTTATGTTTAGACACCGATTCATATTTTAACCTTGATCAATACTGTGAAGTAAATAATATATAAAAAATGGTTTCTCGATCTCTCATTTAATGATGAAAATTGAAATCCTTAATTTTTTTTTTTTTTGTTTTGTAATTTTCATTGAGAGTCAAAGAGATGGCCAACTCCTCCTTTTACGGTCTTAACCCAAGTCTCCCATCGAGACTTATAAATGTATCATAATTGATTAGATACACTTTAATTAAATATGTATTATCATTAATTATATGTATCTTATTTAATTAGATATATTTTAACTATACATCTATCATAATTATATATATATACACACTTTAAATGTAATATATAATATTATACAATAAGATTTACATTCAATTATATATTTTAAATATATATATCATCTATCATTTTAAATATATTTATTATGTAGGTCATCATTAATCTTACAGTGACACCGTGGCATTTGGCAAAGAATTAAGACGAGGAAAGTTCAGTACCAACCAAAAAGCAAATTTGGGTCACAATCACAGTGTAATAAGCTATCAAGTTCGATGTTTCAACATTGCCCGTGCTATATCCTTGTCTCATCGCCTGGAGATGCATTGAATTATTAAGGCTTGGTCCCCAATAAGTGTAGACCTTTAGTAAACAATTTGCCCATTTGGTAGGACATGCAAAATTGAATTATGCTTCCAAATATAATACCACACCCATGCATATAATAAATACTTGGTCTAAAATTTTACAAAAAAAAAAAAAAAAAAAAGGAAGAAAAGAGTTCTTGATTCAATAGTATTTTACGTTCTGACGAATAGAGGTAGCTGATAAGTATTTCAAAATTCTGACGAATACGATAGTTATGCTATACAAATATGGAAGGATCTAAATCTTTAAAATATAACTAATGAAATCTACGTACCAACCTTATAGATCACAGTTTTTTTAAATACAGAATGCGAAAATATATACACAATTTTATCATCGTAAATCAGATTAAATTTAATGAAAATATCTCACTCTTTCATTGTGGTAACAAAATATAAAAGAAAAGGATATAAAACTTTCTAGTATTTCAAGATCTTTGTCAAGTGAAAACTCCAAATAAAAGAAGGAAAAAAAAAAAAAAACCTATGCCAATTGATACATGCTCTGCCCATCATTCTTATCCTTATATAGGACAGAATTTCTGTCACAATTTCTTTCCTTTTTTCTCCCCCCCCCCCCCCCCCCCCTTTACTCAGTCTCAGACGATAGAACGAGCACAGCCTTCACCGGGTGTGAGCCAACTTGGGACCTGCTCACTATCAATGATCACAATGGAGAAGAAAAGAAACCCACATGATTATAACATTCCTCGTAGTCAATTATTGAGCCGTAAGAAACAGCTATGCTGGTCCCGATGGCTCAGTTGACTAGTATGCACTGATGGGTCCTGCTAGTACACATGGGGACCATAAAATGGCCGAAGCAATGGTAACCGGGAATTACTTATCAGTGCGACAGGAACAGCCCAGATCCGGTTATGATGCTGGTAGTAAAAAACAAGCCCAACAAACCCACGTAAGCCCAAGATACCAATTACCCAAGTCAAAGCCCAAAGATTCCACATATCCCTTTAGAGATAGAGCGCCCTCTTGCCTTGCCATTATCTGGCGAACTTGCACTCTTCGGATTGGAGTTATTGCTAATATTCTGTCTTCTTTACAGGCAGCCTCTGTCGACTTCAGGCAGCTTCCAGAATTCTGTTGAAGATAGGCAGGGGCGAGAATGATCTCCTTAGATGGTCCTTTCCACCTACAAAAAAGCCATCAAATCAGCCTTAAACATCACCACCGGTGCTTGTTCTTGGACCCTACTACTCAAAAACGAAAGGGAAAGACAGACCGCCCGGTTTGACTGCATCAACACCCCATAATGGGGCAAAACTGATGCTAATAAGAGACGTTTGGCAAAGTGGGGGAAAAGGTAAAGTGTTATTTCTTCAAGCAAAAAAAAAAAAAAAAATCACTAGCATTGAAAGACAACGCAGCGAAACCGCAAAAGAAGAACAGGGGTTCCCCCCAACCCAGAAATCCAAACTTGCAACAATTCGCTTTCTTGGATGTTTTTCTATCATCTTAATCAAAGCAAAGCAAAATACAGACATTTTGCCAAAAATGAAATGTGGTCTCTACAAAATTATGTTTGAGGTTACCTGGGAAAGTACAGAGGGCATTGCTGAGTACGTCGGTCATCCAGCTCATGTTGATTTTGGTGGCATCCACTTGCCTGCTTTGGAGGAAGTCATTGTGTTTGACTACAAGCCTATTGTTTCTCACTTCTAAACTGTTGGAGTTATAGGCATCTAACGTTCTGCTGTTGTATTATTAAAAATAAATACCATTCTGCTGCTGTGGTCTCCCAGTGGGAGAGTTTGGTCAGGATTTGATTTCGACCTGTTTTTTGGTATTGTTAAATCTGAATTCGATAATATTCGGTGTTGTTGAACCTTTTTGCGTTAAGCCATTGTGTTTTACTTTCTGCAAAAACGGCAAGTTCTTTCTTTGGCAGGCACAAACATGGGTCAAATTGAATTCACGAGAGCATTTGCGTAAAGATGCCTTAAAAGTAAAACGTTCCAGATTCTGGTCGCTATCACAGATGGGAATTGGCTATTAGGTTCCCTTTCTTCAAGTTTTCAGAGTTATCCAGCTTGGTCATGGCACTTCTTTGCAATTATGTTACTGAACACAATCTTTCTCTGTGACTGAACACCTTATAGAATTTGTCACTCATCCACAAAATGATTTGTCCATCTTTGTGAGTATTATATATCGATTGAAGATGCGTTACTCAATGGGAGGTTTGCTTACGCATTCTTAGAGTCAGACTCATGAAACTATGAACTTTAGAAAATAGCGACGAAGTTGGAGTGAAGTAGACAGTGCAAGCATCCTGGGTGGAATCTGTCTCAGAATTAGATCAAGGAATAGTTTTCCTAGAATGCCAGTCGACTATGGAGTCTTTACAGCTGCCCTTCCACCTCACTTGCAGTTAATTAAGAAAGATAGGCCTCTGATCCTATAGAGATCATAGGTTTGAGATAAACGTCATGCATTATAATTATAAGGAGAGGCAGTAATTTGGTGGTAAATTTGCTTAATACATAACATACTATTCAAATAAGAGTTTTATTGACACAAGGATCATCTTCAACTTCTCTACGTCAATCAAGGTTAAACTCAACTTAAATTTCTAAATTGCAACCATAGAAAGTTATTACATATCATGTAAAGTTTTATCCTTTTTCTGTATCCTCCTGACTTTGTCTTTGCTCCAATTAAAGGAAGGAAAGCATATAGCATGAATAGCTAAACTTGGTCAACATCTGTTTCAGCTTCCTCATGTTGCCCACACACATTCTTGTCCTCGATGGAAACCAAGCTCTCCATGTAAGCATAAATTGCTTCACACCATCTCCGTCCCCGAAATGCAAGATCCCTTATTTCTCTCCTGGTAGGGACACATAAGAATAGTTCGTAATCACCAAATTCCAGTAAGAGAATATTCTTCTTCCAATGACCAACTGGACGGGGAATGTCTGAAAAAGGACCCATAGTAATTTATTTGGACCAACACTCCTCATTCGTTGTCCATATATCAAAAACCTTCACCATCTCATGAACAGTGAACGAAGCAACAGAGTCATGGTATACTGCAAGATTTTTTTAAAGCTGGTTTCTCATAATCTGGTACCTGCATCTCTTGAAACTCATCACTAGCCATGTCAAAAGAGATGATCACTTCAGAATTTTTATCTTCTGCACTTGATCCCAACCAGTAAGTTACTCCGTTCACAAAAATGTAACATCTATTGTTTTCTAAGTAATAACATTGTGTCAAATCTCCACAATATCTCCAAGAACAAGTACCTAATGAGTACACAAGGACTGACAAAGGATACCTGATGTGCTGATCATCTCCTCCTTCATTATTCTTATATCTTTTAATAACAATCACCTTGTAATCTTTAGTTGTTGTATCTAATCCAAATCCATAATTATCGAACAAAACATAACTAAAATTGGATGGAAGATCAGGCTTAGTTATTAATGCAGGTAGATTCATTGATTGCAGGATTCCACAAAGCACGATGATCGTAGTCCCATAGATAATATCTTCCATCACAAGGACCACAAATATGTGACCCATATATCGGCAAACCATCTAGTGATTCAGATGATAAAACTCTGGGTGTTTCATCTATCAACAACTCACGAAGTTCAAGTTCACCTTGACTTGCGTAACTTTGAGTAAGGAGACAATCACTGTCACTGTTGCTGTAGTAATTTTCCAGATGCTTGGATATGAATTTGGAACTTGTAATAATAGCATACGATGATTTGCAAACACTTTTGAATTGCAACAGAGTTTTCACAGGCAGCCAAGACAAAATCTCGATTATCACATCTTCAGCCAAAAGATCTCCATTCTTGATTGCAATTATCATTGATTTCTCACGCTCCTTTTCACTTCTAAAAATTTAAAGATTTTTTAAAAAAATTCAGCTTCTGAGAATTTAAACCTAGGACGTAAAAAAAAAAAAAAAGAAAAAGATGACAACCCTAAAAGAAATATAAAAAGATCTCACCTTTCTCTTAAAATGCGATTTAAGCCGTGATGGAAACTTGACCAAGTGAAGCGTTGCAAGGAAAGAGCCATTCCTGCACCCATCACAATCAATGATATTCTTCAACAGTTATGTTCGGTAGGAGTAAGAAAACAACATCAATAAACAGCATAGGGGTAGCTAAAATTTGAGTAAAATTAAGATTTGAACAAGAAAAATAAAAGTAGAGAATGAGGAAACCTTCGAAGTCCAAACATAATTGATTCGATAAATATTCGAAGTAATTTAAACTATTAACACAATAGAAATCGATAGGCTTGAAACCAAGTTTTGGCCAAACGCCACAATTTCTCTCCACAAAATTTCTCCAAAAAAAAAACACAATTTACTTGAGAAATGTCAAATTAAAATGGATACCTTGGAATTGGGAATGGGAAAGGAACAGAATTGATCAAAGAAGTTGCAATGCCTCTTAATCTTAACTGCAAAGGAAACTCAGAACTTTATGATTGGATTCCAGCTGATGCTGATTTGGTATCAACCCCTGCTTGCTTGCCGATTTAGAAATAATAAATAAAAATGGAAAGGGAAATCTTATTAACTTCGATGTAATCATTTGTAAAAAAAACTAATGGACGGTATTTTCTCTATCCTACGTCGGACTCGACTCTTAAAAAATTTAATTATTTTATTTATTTATTTATGTATAAAAATTATTTATAAGTTTAGAATCGTTGTTTAGTATTGAAGAAATTAGTAACTTAAAATAAATATTAGTTTAAAGATTTTAAGATAAATAGTTAGTTACGTTCTTGTGAAGATTTTTTAATCACCCAAACGCCATTTTCGAAGAAATATATCATGTTCGAGTTAGTCCTAAATTCATGTCTTGAAAGATAACCATTTTTGCCAAAAATTAATCTTTTACCTAAATTCCAAGTCCGTTATTTCAAAACTATTTTTTTTTAATTTTTTTGAGCATGACATCGTATTGAAACGGTCATCGAATCTTTTCATTGGGAGACATGTCGGATCAAACATCGAATTCAATTTTTGAGTCTTGACACACTCGATATGTCGTAGAACATCCCGATTATTAAAATGATTTTTTTTTTTGTTAAAGACAGTTCCTATCAAATTAAAGACTTTGTCATGAATTTTTAATTAAAAAAATTATTGATAGGAAATCATCGGTAGTTTCTAAGATTCAGGAGACTCGATCATTTACCTATCTATTAATACTAAACTAATTTTCAAAACAAAATTCTAAAATTAAAATTTAAGTAATAACCTTTTTTTATTATTAGTTTTTTGCCAGTAAAAAAAAAGGAGGAGACTTGACAATTATCTATAATTTAATTACCTAAGCTAATTGTGAAAATTAAAATTCTAAAAATAAATTAATTGAAATTAACTTAATCAAATTAAAAAAAAAAAAACTAAGAGTGTAAAATCTGATTGGAACAAGAAATAAGCATACATAAGTAAACATTTAAGAAAATATTATATAGAACAAGATAAAACAAAAAATATTAAAACTTAAAAAAAAAAAAAATCCTGCATTTTGTTTTTTTGTTTGTTTTGGTGGGCCGTAGACCCACTGGGTCAGGCCCATTGTGTTGGCTTATGTCTGGACTGAGCTAAAACCAGCCCATGCCTTTTCTTTCCTGGACTTTGCCCAGTCCATAAACAGGAACAAAGCTTGTTCCCATTTTCATTTCGATCAAAGCTGTTTCTCCTCCTCTCTCATTCATCTCTCTCTCTCTTATCCTCCCACTCTCTGGAACTGAAGAAAACCTAGCATTCCATCTGTTCCTCACACCTGAGATCGAAGGATCTCCTAAATGTCCACAAAAAAAAAAAAAAGAGTTTTTTTTTTTTTTTCCGATTTCAAACAGAGATCGATCGATCTCTATGCTTCCTTTTTTTTTTTTTTTTTTTTAAAAAAATTTTAACAGAGATCGCTTCAAAATCGATCTTTGGTGCTTGACAGAGATCGGCTCAATCTGTTTATCTCAACAGAGATCGATCGATCTCTGTCTCACTTTGTCAGAAATCGATTTGGGTGGATCTCATGCTGTCTCAACATCAAAGATTGATCTAGGTCGATCTCTGGTTTTCTCTTCAGAGATCGACTTAGTTCGATCTCTATTCGTCTCAAGACACTGGGGTTCTTCCCAGGAAGAGAACCCAGAGATCCCTTCCTGGTAAGCTTCCCTAAAACAAAATTAGGACAGTTACAGAGATCCATGCGATCTCTGCACCTGCAATAAGACACATTTGGCAAAGTGGGGGAAAAGGTAAAGTGTTATTTCTTCAAGCAAAAAACCATCACTAGCTTGGAAAGACAACTCAGCGAAACCGCAAAAGAAGAACAGGGTTTCCAACCCAACCCAGAGTTATATGGCCAGCAACTTCCAGACTCGCAACTTGCTTTCTTTGATGTTTTTCTATCATCTTAATCAAAGCAAAGCAAAATACAGACATTCTGCCAAAAATGAAATGTGGGTCTCTACAAAATTGGCCCCTTGAAATATCATCGAATTCCTATCTAATTTTGGAGAGGACGAGGCTCATAGTTACTTGTATTGGCATATGATTCTAGATGATACAATTGTGTGTGCAATGACAATACGCTGTCTGAATCTCTCTCTGGTGCTGCATGCAGCCAAGGATGCCTCTGTTTTCTTGGCTTTTTGACACTTACTTTGGGATTCACAGAAGCTGAAGGACGAGACTGAGTTCGAGATAAGGAATGCAACCGAGACATCTTTCCAAAGGAATGGTTTATAGCTTGAAACTTCTGATTTTCCGGACTATCAGCTCTCAACCTTCCCTTTTGGCCAAGGACTGAGGGAAAACTGACTGAATTAACCATTCCTGAGAGGTCATGCGGGCTGTCCACACAAAAGGAAGGAGTTGCCTTTTTTGGCAATCTGTTCTTCCATGCTAGAAATGATTGCTGTAGCCTAGTGGGAACCTGCAAACCAGCCGAATGACAAAGTAAGCCTCTACAAAGGAAAACAACATCAAAGCATTCTAGCCAAAACCAAACAATTTGCAAGTCCAATTTAAATACGTCTCCCAAAGGAACCCAACCGATCAATATTCCTAAAGTTAGTGAAAGGCAAATCTCATAACCTGTTTGCTTGAGTGGCAGAAGATATGGATAGATATATACCCAAAGATCACCTTTTTTGTTTCGATAGATATATACCCAAAGAAGGAAAGAAGGATGTTTCCTTTCAAGCTTAAATTTTTCAATCCATCCGATTTGGATGGATCAACACGCTGTAGGCACTTTCTTTCTTTCTTTTAACTCTTGGCCAATTTATTCCAACCAAACAAACAAATGGACTGTTCGAGATCAACGATCAATTTGTGAATGTTTTAAATAGGGAAGTGAGAAATTGTGGTTTTGATAATTGAAGAGGTATGTTATGCCTCAGGAAAACTCAAGTCAAGTAACTAGATGAAAAATAATCGCCTATTTTGGGATATTTCCTTCTAATGAAATATAAATCACCAGACAGCAAACATTCTAAAGAAGTGGGCATATTACTGCTGTTCTTAAAACATTTGTGGACGACCAGATTGACTGCTACGCATACGAAAAGAATTCATAGGTTTTGGAACTTACTGTTGAAAGAAGGCTACAGGAAGCAAATGACAGTGAAGATGTAGAAAATGGAGCTCCCGTAGGTCTGTTTCCTTTCTGTTCATTCTTTGCTGGATCCTCATCTTGGGACACAGAACCAAAACTTGATGGTGTAGTATCCTCATCTTCCTCCTCCTCGTCTTCTTCTGCTTCCTCTTCTTCCTCTTCATCTTTGGCTAACGGTTTCTCCTCCTGTTGGGTGGACACGGAGGTATTCTCTTCCTCCTCTTTTTCTCTCATCTTCAGCTCCTCATCGAAGTCTTCAATGGCCTCTTCTAGACACAATTCAGCCTCTATCAACTCAAGTTCCTTTTCATACAACTGTACTTTTAACTCACTAGCTTTCTTCTTCTCTTCGGTCCATTTCTGTACTTTATCAAACACCGGCTTGCACACAATATCAACTGCTTTTCGAAGACGCTGCCATATGTTTTCCTTCTTTACCACGTCCTCTTTTCCATAAAATTCATCAAAACCAAGGGGTAGGAACTGAACTTTATCAGGATCCACATCTTCCCCGTCTTTCAGAGGTGGCTGCCAAAATAACCGAATCCCATGTTCCTCATCCTCAACCCAGTTGATTATTCGTCCAGTTGGTGTGTGTAGAATGACAGGATCTTCAGTGTATATGAGCTTAGATGGATCTTCAGGATCGGGTTCTGGTTTCTTGTTAAGAACAACGAATTCAGGAGTCTCCTCTGTCCAAACAAATGTAAAAATGTAAAGAACCAAACAAAAATAAAAGAAGGCATTAGGAGTGAACGGAAAAAACTACTAGCTAGCCTAAACACAAGCCAAATGCCTGGATCAAGAAACAACAAAATGATGGAAGGGTGCAAGACAATTTATCTTGGCATCAAAAGGTGAAACATATTTTAATATTATTTGTATTTGCAAACTAATGTCATGTTTGCTTTGAAGAAGAGAAGCACATAAACAAGAAAAAGAATACTCGTAATGACCTAATGAAAAGGCATGTAAGATGAAGTTGCATATCTATCTATACTACTAGCCAAAAGCAAAATTTATCACAAGGACTAGAGAGAGAGAGAGAGAGAGAGAGAGATGATACCATTCTCCCACCAGTATGAAAGCTCAGCAGGCATAGGCAATCTCAGTGGAGCTTTATAAAAGGAATTTAACCACATCTCTCTTTCTTGATCTACCTCATGTGCATATCTCTTCCAATAATCAGGAACCTGCCAAACGAGCACATTTGTTCTCATCCTCCACATGACCTAAAAATAAGTTAACAAAATAACTTACTTCATAGAACTGGTTGATGAAGCCTGGTGCCATCCACACATCTTCTTCCTCGTAGAAATAGGGATGTTGAGGATCACTGTATGGACCAAAGGCTTCCCTGACCACTGTGGGATAACATAATAATACCAAATGAAGAATAAATAAGAGATCACATAATCAATAAATTATGAAAGAATTCCAAAATAGAAAATTGGATCTGCAAATGTGAAAAGTAGCAATTATAAATCTAACAACAGTTAAGATTAGAGGCATTCATTATCATAATTGGGCAAGGGACAACATGTTCCTGTAATAGATGGACAAAAGCTTAAGTATTCAAGCAAGGAGGCTGAAATCCAATGCTATATCCTGATTCCCATGCTTTGACATGTGGGATGTTACGATACATGGTTTGAATGTTTGAATCCTGTCTCCTAGGAACATTTAACCAGCAACAGCTTACGAGAAAACTTTATGGCCATGACAATTATATTTTTGAGAAATATGACAGCCTATACCTTGGTCAGCCATCATAAGTGCATCTCTAAATCAATGACCAAGGTTGTATTGTCTGTCAATTTGCAGATGATAATTCACATGGTTACACGAAATGGATATCATATTTCATCAGTCATTTATTATCACCTCTTGACAGAAAAGTCAGACCCCAGTCAATGCATTACTTTGTAACTCTATTGCTACTCTCTTGTAAAAGCAATATTTGGAGTACAAATGACATACTTCCATCTGGTTTATTGACAAACATCCTAGCCTTTGCAGCAGCTACTTCAGCTATTCCTGCATGCACCTGTAAGACCTTGTTGTCAGAGAAACATCTTGAAAAAAATTTGAACTTAGAAAGAAAGTGATAACATACTGCAGAGATGTCTTCATCACAATCAGTAGCATCCTCTACAAACTCTCCGAAGTAGAACCTGCCCTGCTTGCACACCAAATATAGCAGGTCATTCTTTCATGAAAATTAAAATGGCAAAATAAATAAGCCACTATCCCGTTATGGTCCTGTTGCAGTGCGGTGCTGAGAAGGAAGGTTTAGATTCAACAAATATGCATGAAGTAATTGCTATCAAGACTACCAGCTTTGCAGTTGCAATTGTGGCTTTCACCATGCAACAAGTGAGCAAGCAATAGTTACTTTGACACTTACCAAGAAATAGAAATATTACTGAATATTAAGAGTTGTAAAACACACAAAAAGAGCAGACCATTACACACATCAAATATATGACATTTCTATCACTGTGGTGCATACTTTCAAGCTAAAATGTTCAATCTAATTTCAAGTCTTGGTTCATCATTTCCAGCTTATAATATGGACACTAACAGAGAAAAATTGGATTTCGGATATTATTTCAAGTTTGTGTTGAATCTTCAACAGATTGGCATTAAGAATTACATGGATGCCAAGCTCTTAAATGTGGTTCTAATATTTCATGAACGTACAAATATGGTGCGCTCGTTGACTTCATAGACACCGCATCCATGCATCCTGCCATGCTTCCATTCACCAGCATAACGGTACCGACCTTTCTCCCTGACATAGAAACACTATCATAATTAATTAATTATCCCATGGAGTATGCATTCCGAACAAAAATTCATGTATTCTATGAGAATTAAATCAAAAGATTCATACAATACAGCAACGCTTCTTTTATTTTTAGGCAAGATAATTATTCAGATAAAGATCATTGATAATGACACCTATAAAAACAAAAAATTGCATTACTTGGCATCAAAGGGATGGTTAACTGATGATCATCTTTTACTCTATTGCCTATTTGCTTATCAGATTGTGCCCATCTCTTCTGGTTTTGGGGGTTCATTGGATTATAGAAGCATCACTGATTGCAGCTTGGAGAGTAGAATCCTTGACTCATTGCCTTCGATTGGACCCTTATAAGATGGAGATATGCCCAAGGAGGAGTTGTTCAACACATATGCAGATATGCTCCATGCCGCTAATGTAACCTTGATTCAACTTTGGGCTTTTTTCACCTCTTCGGGATTTTATGGCTCATGGCAATGGTAAAACCTATTTCACTTTTTAATGCACAACACACGCGCACACACAAACAGCAGGCCCGTTACCAATTTCCTGACTAAGTGCACAACAGCTTCTGAATGCACAACAGCTACTGACTCAATTTAAAAGAATACCATCCTTTGAAAGGGATGCAAGGCACATGATCACGAGTTCTCACCAAAGGAAGTGGCGTGCCCAAATTCAGTAACCTTCGGATAAAGCAAAGAAACCAGGCACTTATGCACGCAAACATTGACGTTGACAGCAAAATAGTACGAAGATTTGAAAAACATAAAAAGCTAGGTAAAACAAGTGAACTGATCTAACAATAACGGAAAATGAAAATAACTGTGCAGCTGAATATAAAGAACTTACGGTTTTTGTCCAAATTGTCTAATCCACTCATCATTCTCGTAAAAAGGTATTTCATACTGCCCTCCAGCCAGACGCATGCTGTCTTCAATATCCATCTCTAGCCATTCCCTGTCTTCTGGGGACATAAAATCTCTTGATATAATTCTTCCTTCAGAACGCATTTTTGCTTCAAGCCTGGGAAGATAGTGATAAGCAACTCAAGTTATCTATCCTGTTTGGAAAAAGGCCACTGCATTTTTACACATTAATCGTACTATAATGATGAAGGGTTACAGAGTATGTACATACTTGGAACCTGGTATAGGTTCTATATCAGGTATATCAACTTCTACAACTCCATGGCCCTCCATGTTGTTCTGAAGCCACTCACCTTCATACCTACATTGAGGAAATAACGTAAAATCTGAGTAGAAAGCTCATTAATAAACCCAATTGAGAACAAATATAAATAAATAATAACTCTATAAGTGTTTCTATCTTGTTTGGAAGCATCAACGACCGATTTATGAAGCCTGATAAACATCAGAAAGGAACATCAAAATCTAGACATGAAGGGACTGTGAAAGTGGCAGGCTCTAACAGCATATGACAAATTTTGACAGTTTGGCGAGCTTGGTGTTTTTATTATAACTTCGCTGTCAAAAAGAAAATGAGAGAGGGAGGGAGTGCTGGCAAAATATGTAATTCCATCACCACATCGCATACAAGGAGCCTAAATACAGTCCTTGCTTAAATTACTCTAACTAGCTATAGACTTCAGAATTTGCTAATATGCACATCATGCAGGGGATTTGTCAGCTATGGGGTTCCTATATACATCATCTACCAAGCAACATTATTTCCTCCTTTTTCCCATCCAAGGTTGCTAACTTACGACGATAATTGAAAGAGTACAATAAAGCATTTCTGGTGCAAAGTAAGTCGAATTTAATTATCTGCCATGTGTTCTTTTTTTTTTTTTTTTTTTGGCCCGTTCATGTCTCCAGTTTCTACAACAGTATATTTTATGCAGGCAAAAATGTTAGACATACATATGCTGGTTTAAATTATATTGGGATATTTGATAATGACATGCCTACATAAAATGTCAGAAATAGAATGGCAGTGCATCAACATTCTATTTTCCAAATGACGTGTGAATCAAATTGAATCCCTTTGCTGTTAACTTTCCAGTGGATGAATAGAAGTGTAGGTGCAACTTTTAAGATAGACAAAGTACAAACCTGACTAGCCCCTGTTCAGCAACATAAACACCCTTTCCATGTGCCAAGTCATCCCAAACAGTTCCTTCATACCTTTACAAAACCGAAACACGATAAAACAAGTAAATGAACAAAATTCTCATTTGATGAACTAGGATGGAAAGACTATGGAAAGGAACAAATATGCATCCAGACCGGACCGTACATGAGCAATTTAAAGCATATTGTATTAACCTCGTAAATCATAAATGTAATAAAATCCACAGTCCGTTGGTCACACCTGGGCTACTAGACAAGCGAAGGAAGAAGTCAAATACGTATAACAAACCAAATTGCTCGATTAGCAGTTTAGTAGAGTCTAATTCCATTGCAAACCAGCATGCATATTGTATTAACCTCGTAAATCATAAATGTAATAAAATCCACAGTCCGTTGATCACCTTTTAACAACTTAAAATTGAACGAAGAATTATAAACAACACATGACAAAGCAGTACATAAGTCAACATACTCCAATTCCTTTGCACCAAAAATAATCAACACATATTCAACATAGAGTCACAAAACCATCAAAAAACTGGAAAAATCGTGCATCGAATCCCTCTAAGAACACCAATGCAGCTTCCATGCATGTAAACAAAATCACAAAATCAAATTCCACCAAAAACTAAGCAAAAACCACCAACCATTCATCCAATTCCTCTCAATATCACGAATGTAGCTATTACCGCAACGCAAATTATCAAATATGAACAAAAAACCATGTAACAAAACAACACCAAAACACACAACGGCAGGCGGCACAAGCACTTACGAGCTACCATCTTCGAAAATGTAGCTAACCCAAGTCAAAAACTCCTCTATTCTATCCAGCTCTTCAATAACAGCTTTCGGATTCGAAATATCATAATGATTATCAGGAATCACCGGATAAGGCTTTCTATAAGGCACATAAAAAGGCGCAATAGGCGGGTCTCTCCCTTCTTCCTTCATCTTCTTAACAATATCCCAATCCTCCTCATCCGCCCACACTGGGTCCCAGCCTGGTTTCGTAGATTCCCATGGCGGGTCAGCCCACAACTCCTTCAAATCCTCTTCCCTCCAATTCTCTTTATCCCTCGGAAAATCAAACAAATCCTCGTAAAAGACATAGTTTCTGTCTTCTTCTTCTTTCATCTTCTTCATCCTTCTGCTCTCCAATACCTCCGCGAACCGGGCAATGTTTTTCTCCGACGTGTTCTCCGATTCTGGGATTTCGTCTCCCGGTCTGCTGTAGGTGATAACGCCTTCCTCTTGGTTGGTGGATGATGGAGTGTAGTCATAATCGTACTCGGAGTCGGAATCAGAGTCTGAGTCAGAATCTGATGAAAGAGAGACGTTGGTGTCTTTGTTGGTATCAGCATTTGGGTCTCCTGATGGATTCGGGTCGGGTGAGTCGGTGGTTTGGTCTGCTGAGTTATCGTCGGCCATTTTTGGAGGATAAGGTGAAGGCTACCAAGGAAATGAGTGAAGAGAGGATAGGTGAGGTTGAGGGAAGGGAGCTAGAGAAATGGATGGGTGTTTTTAGTGGGAAGGGTTTTGAGGGTTTTTGTCCGTTACTACCAATCGTTTTTGAGTTTTTACTGTTTTACTGTCTTTGTTTTTTTTACCTGAAGAAGAGTTGTTTTCACCTTCCTTTTTCGTAAAATCACCTTTGGTTTTCGTATTTGGTGGATTGATAATAAAATCGGTAAAATGTTAATAAATAAAATGGTTTATGTGATTTCATGACGTTTTCTTAAAAATAATATCGTAAAAATTTTTATAAACATAGTGTGTTTCATAGGTTTTTAAACAAATAAGAGTATTTATATTTTTTTTAATCCTTCACACAGCTCATACAGATATATGTAATGAGAAAAAAGAAAAGTTTGGGCCTTCCTAAAGCTTCAAGAAAACAGAAGTTGAAAAAACACATTTTGTACCATGATTAGAAGCCCAAGGCCCAAGATCGAGCAGAGCATGTGAGGAGTAAGAGTTTATAAATTAATCCCTCCAAAAATGAAATTAGTTAGTCATTTTATTTAAAAACTAATTATAACATTATTTTATTTCATAAACTATCATATTTTCTCATCTTCTATGCTCTTGTTTTTCTTTTTTCTATTCATAAAATATAAGAAAAAGTTCTTAAGAACTTATTAAACTATTAGTTAACAAATCAATCTAAACACAAAGAGTCGATATTGTGATTTATAAAAATAAGTAAAATAAATGTAATTAATGAAAGATGTGGAAAAAAATAAAGCAATGCTAACAAGACATGAGTTGAGTAGCAGACGGATAAATGATCAAAGTTTAAACAAATAGAGTTTTAAATAATATTTAATATATAAGTGAGAGATGTTTTAAAAAAAGATTTCACATATTTTTTGTTGAATATAAAAAGTCGAAACTCTCTCACAATTATGTAAGGTTAGTATTTATAATGAATTGAATATGACTAATGATTATTTGGAGTGTGTTTATTTAAATGATTAAATTTGAATCGAAAAAAATTAAATTCTTTTATGCTAAATTGTTTCAAATTACTAGTAAAAGCTACAAAAAAAATAATAATAATTAGACTTTTTTTTTAATAGATCCTACTCCGAGCTTATTAAGTCAAACTTCTTAATATGTTTAAATGACAAGACATAGGTATCAATCCTACAAAATAAATTTATCTATCTTTATGCGATCTAAAATGAGACACGTTTATAGTCCAATCAATTTATTATGTAATTTAAACCCATGTAAAAATCAAAATAACAACAATAAAAACATAAATTAAAAAATGATAAATTTAACTATTTTTTAAAATTATTTTTATGGATAAATTGGCCATATACACATTTATCTTAGCCTTTTATCTTGTTGGACTTGGTACTGTTTATTTGAGTTTTCGTCGACCTGGAAAGTATAATCGATCGAACCCATCATTTATTGTGTGTTTTTGTCAAAATTTCTCAATTTCACACTTGTCTTCATAATTTTTTTAATTTGATACGTGTGTTATTCGATTTTTGTTAAAATCATATAATAGGTAATGAAAAATGAGAACGAAATGAAATTACATTTGTTAAATTTACAGATCTCACAATCATTATACTAAAATAAGTATTAAATTAGTGAGTCGATAACGAGACTCGCTGTTTTAACATACTTAATTTCAATGATTCTTATCATAATATGATTGACAATGAAATTGGACGGTAGATGTTTTCGACAAAATCGGATAAGACGTACGTCAAATAGGAAATTAAAAACACAAAAGTGCTCGTATGATAAAAAAACTCCCCTTTCAATTAAAAAAAAAAAAAACACACGAAAGTGAAATGGAAAAAATTTGACAACCAGACAAGTTAAATGAAGGGTTAAGCCGAGTATCATTATCACTGTCACTTATCCAACATGCTAGACTTAACTATCTACGTATGTCACAGTTACTATCACTTATCCAATATGCCAGACTTATGTCAAAAGGAAACCTGTATGTGTATTTCAAGCCCATTATTGTATGGAATAGATTGGGCCTTAGTCTACATTATATATATATATATATAATAGAATGATTATATATATAATCAAGTAAATTACAGATTAGTCCCTCTATTTTCGAGAGATGAATAGATTAGTTCTATTTGTCAACAACTAATAATTTATTCTATACTTTATTTTATTTTATTTTATTTCATAAAATGTCATATTGTATCATTAGGTCTTGAATTTTTTTTCCTACTTCCTCCTTTTCTATTTCTCAAAAAAAAAATAATAATAATAATAAATTGAAACGAAATCGAAATGATTAAAAAAGGCTTAAAAATATAAAAACTAGATTATTAGTTTTTGAAATAAAAATGAGCAAATCAATTTGTTCATTGAAACTAGAGGAACTGCTTTATAATTAAAAAAAAAAACACTAAAGATCTGGACCAAATAAATAGTAATCACTATTCATTTATTCTTCACCATGCGGCATTTTTTTTTTTGTAATTTTTATTGTAGCATTTCGTTATTTTCTTATTGTTTTGGGGCATTCATATATAAATTTTACATTATATTTCATTTTAACTCCTTATTTTTCAAAATATAATTTTGGTCTCCCATGTTTCTAAAGGATATTTGTGGTCCCTAGAAAGAGAGAAAGAAAAGAGAGAGAAAGCTTTTTATTTTTATTTTTTTCAAAAAGGAACTACATAGAAAAACATTTATTATTTTTTTCCACATAGATTAGTGATTATTTATATATGATATGTTTTTAAATTTTTAAATATATATATATATATTAGATTATATTATTCTTATTGTTGAAAATTGGTATCTTTAATTTATCATTTTTTATAAAAATTCTCATCAAATTAAATTTATTTTTTTATAATTTTTTTGAACCCTAAAGTTGGAATCAAAACGAAGTATACATAGGAATAAAGATAAAATATTTTCATTTTTCCATAACTATATAAATTGTTTTCTTATTTCGAGTTTGTTTTCCCTTTACTCTTAAAATATTTTTCAATGTACAATTTTTTCTTGGTGAACCAAACATTAAAAGGCGATGATAATATTTTAAGAAAAAAAAATTTATTGTGAAACAAACAAATTAATAAAGTTTTTAAGAAAGTTGGTACTCAAACCAGAATTGGCCAAGTACTTTGGCAACGGTAGCAGTAGCACAAGTCCACACTAGCTGTATGAACAAACTAATACCCAAGTATTATCAGAGCATGCACGTGTACATTATAATCATCCAAAATGACACACCATTCATGTGGGTGCAATATACGGAAGAAAGAAAAGAGAAGTGTTGTGTCTGTCCTGAAAAATTAAATACCTTTGTCTGTCCTTGAGTGCCAACTTTTGCCTTGGCATTCATTAATAACCTGTTACTCCACCAGCCAAAGGTTATAACGATTCACATGGTTTATATTATATATCAAATTAATATTCCGGCCAAGTCTACATTTTTTAATTTTCAAAGAGTTAAAAAAATTCATTTATTGTTTTTTAATCAAATCTTATGAAAAAAATATCAAGATTTTTTTAAAAAATTTATATTAAAATTTTTATTTACATTATTATAGATTTTTATTTAAAAACGAATATATAACAAAGAATGAATTATGTTTTTTTAACTATAAAATTTATGAAAAACATAAAAAAATAAAAAAAATCATTAAAAAGATGAATTTAAATGAAATTTTTTATCTTTAACTTGATATGTTTTAATTAACTGATAATATAATATAAAATATTAAACTAAAATAAAAATATTTAATCTGATTGACGCTGTAAAATACAGAAAGCTGACTGGTTTATTCTATACTAACCTTGTCTCTCCTTTTTTTTTTTTCCTCCAGAACAATTCTACATTGTCGTGCTATATTCCTAGTTTGCTCCCTAGTGTTACAGAAACGAGGGCATAATTATCCTATATACTAAACCAAAATGGGTTTATCCTATATCCTATATGTTCATTGCTACAGTGTTTTGTTTTTTTTTTTAAATTTCTATTGATTTTTTTGCTAGACCCGCTGCTCCCCCCCCCAACCAATCTGTTTACTGTTCATTTGAACAGTAAACGCCTGCCCTTCTTTTTTTTGTAAACATTTAATTTTTTAAAAAATTTCCACCTATTTACTGTTTGCATGAACAGTAACGGCTTGCACTTTTTTTTTTTTTAATTTCTGTTTCTTAATAGTATTTGGTGTTCAAATTTTATAAGAACCAACAATTAATTGGGTGTTAAAATTCTAAAGAAACCAACAATTTATTTCCTTTGTTATTTATTTTTAAAATTTGAAAAAAAATAAGAAATAGTTAAATATAAAATTTTTGATTAAAAAATCATAATTATTTTTTGCCGTAAAACAGATTATTAAATTGAAATAATTTTTCTAAACGATTTTATATATTTTATCAAACCCGCAACGATAGAGTAGATAAAAAATCTAATACTATATACTAAAGAAAAATCATTTTTCATCGTAGCAATGAACAATGTTAATCACTCGTTCATTACTATAGTACTTTGGCTTTTTTTATTTTTTAAGTTTTCATTTTTTTTTTTGCCAGCACTCGCTGGCCTTCCCCCTCCTTTTTTTATCCGTTTATTGTTCATTTAAATGATAAACGGCTTGTCCTCTTTTTTTTTTCTCTAAACACTTTTTTTTTTTTAATTTTCGTTCGTTTGCTATTCACTCGAACAATGAAACTACTGGCCTCTTTTTTTTTTTCCTAAACATTGAATTTTTTTTAATTTTAATTTCTTAATAATATTAGGTGTTAAAATTTTAAAAAAATCAACAATTAATTGGGTGTTAAAATTTTAAGGAAATCAATAATTTATTTGCTTTATTATTTATTTCTAAAATTGAAAACACAAATAAGAAATAGTTAAATATAAATTTTTTTCATTTAAAAATTATAATTATTTTTTATCATAAAACAAATTATTAAACTGAAATAATTTTTCTATATAATTTTATATATTTTATCCAATCCGTCAGCGTAGCAGCGGTAAAAAATCTAGTTTTGACTACAATAAAATAATTTTTGTTCCTGATTTGACCGTTTCTCCGCGTTCAAAGGACGGTAGTCAATTAGTACTACAATTATAAGATTCATTGCATGTTTAATTTACCCAAAAAGATATAGCATAGTTTGTTAATGTACCAACTTAAACGCATGACTTTGAAGATCTATTTGAATAATTAATTGTGAGTTTCAAATCAGATAGTATAATTATTTATTTTCGCAAGAAATATTTCAATCACTAATTAGATTTCAGTTCAATAATATTACTCTTGCAGCAGAGGGGAAATAGATGGGACTTGCATTTGAGCCTCTCGCTTTCTGCCTCACGACATGAGTAAAGAAAATAGCAGCAGAAAAAGTTGATCGAAAAATCCAAGAACTGGGTTGGGAAAAAAAAAAAACGATAAACAAAAACATAAAATTAAGGCAGCTTGTTGCCCTTTCTTCCTCCTCCTCTTGCTCCACACTCTACATAGTTCGTGATAAAATAAACAAGGCTAATTAGTTATAAAATGTTTTGATTAAGAGGAAAGCAAGTTTCTAATTTTTTCAGTATGTAATTATATTTTTTTGTCTCATTGATTAATTTTAAATTATATTAGACACGTGTAAAAAATACAAAGACTCTAATAAAAAACACATAGAATTATAAAATAACAATACTTAATTTTAATAGTCTCACGTATTTCTTAAGTTATTTAAAATTGATAATAGAATAAAAAGATTTAATTACAAATCATAAAATAAGTTGAAGAACTAAATGAGAAAAAAAAATTAAGAACCTTTTCATTTTGATCAATTTATAACCAATTAGCCTATTAACAAAGACAACTTTCTTTATAAACTTCGACTACAGGGATAAGTCGACAATTACTATGTTTTGAACATCAGTAATTAGCAACGAAGATATTGCTTTTGAATAAAATAATAAATTTTTGACCATAAAGATTATAAATCTACTATTTTCGATAAATTTATGACTTCGATGAACATCAACATTGTATCGAATGCTAAAACATAGTTATCATAGCAACTCCTGCTACCTGCTAGGCGGCTGCTACTAATAAAACTAAACCAAAAATTAAGAGCTGGAACAAGAAATTAAAACCCATCACTATCCGCAAATTTGACAAGTACCGCTTCCTCTGTCACATTATCTTACAAGTGCTTTTCTCTTCTGTTGCCATTTAGCATCCTGCTGCGATTTAAGCAGGAACTCCCATTTTCACAACAACAACAACATTAACAACCAAACACGTAAAAAAGGATTCGCACATTTACTTTCGCATGTTGTGAGAATAATATTCTTTCCATTTGTCTATTTTACCTTGATTTCCGTTTCTTCGATACCGCCGTGGCTGCCGTGGTTTCTGCCTTTTGTGGTCGTGGCAGCCGCTTCCACGGCTCTAAAAGAACCGAACTGTCTCTGTACCTATAAGGCAGCACCTGACTTCTCCCTCTTTTAGATCTCACAACAGGTGATGATGCGTTATCCTCGTACAAATCCACCACCCAACTACACTTGCAACTCCTTTTTGACCCACTTTTTGTTTCCTCTAGTTTCTCTGAATCAGATTCTTTATCGTCTGAATGACCCGAAACCATCTCTGCTGCTTCGATAAGAAGAGCCAGACAATCTTTATTGGTTTTGTTCTTTTCTTCGTGGCATGGTTCCACTTTGACTGATTTTTTCTTCGTGTCTTCTTCTTTGACCTTAGTGATCTCCTGACCGTCATTGATTACTTTGATTTTGCTGTTGATTTCATTGGCTTGGTTTTTGAAATTCGTGGTCTTTGAGATTTCTAAGGTTGTCTCATCGACCACTCGAGATTCTTCACCAGTTGCTTGAATTGTAGGAGGATCACTACCAAACTTGTCCCCAACCGCCTTAACACAACATTCTCCTTCTGAGATTGAGCTCCTGTCAGCCGTAAAAACCTCGATAGAAGAATCATTCTTTAAACCCTTTTCAACAAAACTGCAAGCACTTAACAAACATGACGAGTCTGGGGATTGATTTTCATGATCACCAGCTTCTGACCAAGCAGGGCTCAAACCCATATTCAAATCAATGCCAATACCTCTATTCTCTTCAAATTCAAGAATTTCACGATTTAAAGATGTTTCTTTTGAGATTTCTTGAGGTGGGTATGAATTAATAATGTGTAAAATCTTATGGAGGCACATTTGAGACTTGGAGAATCCATGGCGAGTAGTAGTATTGCTCATAAAGCAAGAAGAATCGCGTACCTGATTGGCATGGTTCAAGAATTTATACGAAGTCATTGTCGAGCCCAAAAACAAGCAAACCCCTTTTCTTGTTTATTAAATCTCTCCCTTTTCAGCTCTCACTTGCTCAAGTTTTCTTCTTCCTCTTTGCATGCCCTCCAAGATCGCAAGAGATAGGCAGAGAGAAAAACAATATAGAAATTATCTAGTGAGAGAGAGAGGAACAACAAGGCAAGCAAAAAACTTGGGTTTTCAGTTTTTTTGTCTTTATATAATGACTTTTTTTTTCCTGATTTTTATATGATTAATGTCTTTTGCCTTTTCTTTTGGATTGTGTGTTGAATGCTGATTGGTCAGTTAGTGACGTGGCATTTCATCGCCATCTCATCACCTACGTGGTGTAATGTAATTGGAGAATGATTCAAGGACGCAACTAAAGTAACCGATCGAATGCGACCGATTTTGTTTTTATTTTTTCTGGAGTCACCATAGTTGCGTTCTTGGGCGTTTCTCTTGCGCCCATGTAGAATGTTAGTTCTTTTTCTTGCAGATTATTTCGCATGATTCTTTTCTGGACACTTTCTACTATTGCAGATTAAATCTTCGAATGGATAGGGCATGACTCAATGCTAAATGTATGGGATTATATCTTCATTCTTGAATTTAATACCTGTACTTCGTAAAATATTTTATTTTAGTCCTTTAACTTTTCATTTATTGCTGGTGGAGTATTTGTTGGTTCTTTGAGCCATCATAACTAATAATCCATGATCTGTGACTAGTTGTGCTGAACCACTTTTAGCCTTTTGATTGATAGCGATTTACCTTGTCTTTTTTTAACAAAGATCTAAATGCATACTGTTTACAAATTTAAAGATTTACGAGTTATCATAACTGTATTGTTTTTTATTCATAATGATTTACCTTTTTTTTTAAGAAAATATCTAAATGTATATAGTTGACAAATTTAAAGATTTATGAGCTATCATGAATGTATCGCTTCAAATAGTGATTTTTTTTGTTTTATTATAAGCTGGGTTATATCACTTTGTGCTGATTTCCGTGAGATCTATTTATCTATTTTTAGATATCTAAATTGACTAATCAAACATTAAAGGATTAGAGGTACTTGACTGATATTTTTTTAAAAAAATTATATGATTTTAAGTAGAAAAAAATAAAGGTGCGGACTCAAATATAATTCTAATAATGCTTAGGTACCAAAATTACGACTATCTAATTCGTTGTTTGTGTTTGCCTTGGATGGTCCGCTATGGAAAAACTCCATTTCAATGCGTGTGCACTACCAGCACAATTTCTTTATCTTCTTAAGAGGAAATTTCCTGGCATTTGATTAATTTCTTCTTACCCAATAAAAGAAGTGCATGTCCTTTGTTGCAAGGTCACAACCCACAAAACCCGAACTTTGCTATGTTACGTTTAAAGGCCTTGATAATTTTTTATTGGCTTTGATTAATTAATGCGATATTGAAGATCGAAAATGACCATACAGATACGATAGCTTGCTTTGATGAAATGTCTTATTGATTACTAGGATTGTACCGTCTGACCGTCCAGGTCCAGGTCCAGGACTGCGAGGAGAGAAAATATGCACATGTTGTGTGGTTTCGTCAAAGAGTTGCATGCCATGATGAACTAAGCAGACTGATTTTGGATTTGAAAAAACATGAGTTTTTCTTTTATTTAGCTTATTATATCATAAAGACGTATTGATTATTTTGATATGTTCTTTTAATAGTAAATAGAAAATATATAAAATAAATTCTTAAAAATCATATTAACATGTGAATGTTTTTAACTTAAATTTTATTTTAAGTTGATGTGATGCGCAAAGGATTATGACAGCATAACTAAATTTTTCAGATAAAATTGATGGTGGCATATTTGAGAAATTAACTGTCCAACTAGTGAATTACATGTAATTCATTCCTTTCCAAACCGGTTAAAAAAAATTTTCAATCCTTCCGCTTCTGCAATTGCAAAATCCCTAAGTGTCTACATTTCTGATATTGTCTGAGATTGTCACATCAATTAATTGATAAAATTACATTAATTAGTCGGTAAACAACGTGGTAAACTAGAGTACAGACAACATAAGTATTTATGCTCAGCAGGAACCTGCAAGGGCAAGAAGAACATGACCCAGACGTCTTTACTCTGAAAATTTTATATGCACGTCTTGTTCTTTTCTTACTCTTCCTAGCTAATAATGTACACTCTTATTATGCTTTCTTTGTTATCATCAATTCATCATCTTCTTGTTCTATGTTTCAACTAATTAATGCGATTTTATCAACTAATTGATATGGCAATCTCAGAGTTGCGGGATTCTGCAACTGTAGAGGCGGAAGGATTGGATTTTTTTTTTTTTCAATTAGATTTGGAAGAGAATGAATTGCATGTAGCTTAGTAGTTGGATAGTTAATTTCTCAAATAGGCCACGTGAATTTTTACTTGACAAATTTAGCCATATTGTTGTATTTTCTTACAAGTGCCAACTTAAAATGGATTTAAGTTGGAAAAAGTTTAGGCGAGCTAATATAATTACTTAAATCTTAATTTATATATTTTTCATCTAAAAACGTATTAAGATAACTAAAATATGTTAAGTTCGTGATTTAATGATACATTAGGTCTTTTTTTTAATAATATTATTGGTTTATAAATTTAACATGATTAAGTTTAGAAGGAAACCAATCACTTAATCATATGATACTAGAGAACATGGTTTTACTTGCGAGAATGAATAAAAAAGAAGAAGATGGTTTCATTTGAAAGAATGAAAAAAGAAAGTGGCATTTTGATTACGTTATTCCTAACAACCTTGTTTCTATTGATTTTTTGAGGTTGTATATCAAGTGAGTTTTTAATGATGTTCTTTTAACAATTTTTTTTTTAGTTAAATCATAGAAAAAGTTACATAATTTGCACTTTATCATTATTATTATTATTTTGAAATGCTCTTAAAAAAAATCATGTGACTTGCATAAATTTAGTTGAGGGGTTTTTTGAAAAAACCAGTTACGCGCTAGCCATTTGACTTTTTATTTTATTTGATCGAAAAAATTCATTGTAATAACAAACAAAAACATAATTGATTCATTTGGATATAATAACAAATTAAATATTGATCTTATTATATAAAAACAAACTGAATCATTATCTTCTTTTTTTCTTATACATAGACAGGTTTCCATTGGTTTAAATCCAAAATCACTATAGAATTTTTCCAAAGCATGAGTATAAGACGTTTAATTTGTCATTAATAACTTCAATAGGGCAAAAAAAAAAAAAAAAAAAGCACCAGCTAGTGTCAACCGTATCTTTGAAGTTTTCAAACCGAATGCTCATGCATGCATTTGTTATTGCTGCACTAATAAAGACTGTTTTCGTCAACACAACACAAAAACACATGTGCCGAGGCAATAAGCCATTTTGGATCAAGATGCATGAATATGGAATAATAATCAAAACACAAAAATGCTAGTTAATTACCACACTTGGGACTCCAGATTTTCACCAAAAGATGTTTTTTTGGAAATATTGACACTTGATTTGTTGCTTTAATTTCTCGATCAAGACGAGCTGGCACCAGTGAAGGGGAAGGCTGGAAGGCTACCTTCCGTATGAATAGTTTGGTGAAAAAAAAAATCAAGAAAACTTGGTAAATAACAAAGATGTTAGAAGAAGTTTGTTGGAACAATGAGAAAATATTCTATATATATGAATATAATTAAAAGAAATTATTAGGTACACTGAAATTTTTATTTTTCTCTCGGAAAAACTTGAAATCTATTATAAAAATAATTCATAAATTTCATATTTTTTGCGAGAAGAAACAAATACTATTCTTGATATATTGAATAGTTCCATAACTAAAACAATTATTACAAAAGAGGAGGATGATCATGCAAATTAAAAGAAAAATGAAGGATTTTAGTTTGCCCTCGTTAAAAATCAACTTAATGTGGGGATGCATTATCTTCATGAATTCTCTCTAAATTAAGAATATTCTCTTCAAAAAAAAAAAAAAAAAGGTGTTTAAATATCCTAATGAACGGAGCAGCCTAAGGCCTTAAAAGCCACTTGAAATGTATTCTTTAGTCTACCTGTAACTAGGGATGATAATGGACGGGACACTCCATCTGTTAATTTAATTTTTTACTGTACATATCAAAAAAATATCATACCTGTTATTCGTTAAAAAAACAATATATAAATCTTTGTACAGTCTATACCTAACATATATTAGTTTATTCATCCATTTAATATCTATTAAATACTCGTTAAATTAAATTTGTCAAAAATATTTATTTTAATTTTTATAATTTTCAAGAATTTTTTTTTATCCTTAAAGTTTATTTATTTGCATTTTGATCGTTCATTTATATGTTTTGATTCTTAATTAAGGGTCGAAAGTATTTTGATTCTTAATTTTTAAATTTTATGTAATTAAATATCTGCATGTTAATAAAAAAATTTAAATAAATTGATGGGTATTAATAGAGTAAAAGAATAGGTATCCGTAACCTAAAATCATATTGATGAATATGTATTTTTTTTATCTTTACTCATTTCAATAATTATTGGGTATTCTTAATAAATATTTATTGGATCGAATAAAATAGGTTATATCCGATCCATTGTCATCCTTGCAAATCTTTTTTAAGGATCTGACATTGTTTTTTATATAGTAATTTATGAATCCAATTTTTAAAAGAACGACGATTTCAAAGATTTGGTTTAGGTGATAATTATACTATTTGTTTCTAACATTGTTTTTCTGATTTCAAACCCAAAAGAAAGCTGTGAAAAAAAATATATTATAAAATCTCATTCCGGTTATGAACATTAATTTTGGCAGGCGAGAATGGTAGAGAGCACGTATATTCTACCCACTAGAATTGGGGAAAAAAGAAGAACGAAAAAAATTGTCAATGCACATAGGTGTGGACTTGGGCTAAGAGATTATCAGCTGGGCTTTTTCAACCATTCAATACTTTCAACAACTGACACCAGAACATATTGCAGGCCTGTAGCTCTCTCCAGCGAAGCAATACAGGTAGAATTGCGGACCGTACTGCTACCAGCATGCTTTTTCTTTTTTGCTTTCTTTAATGGTCCTCTGGATTGAGAGTAAATTATAAATTAGTTTCCATAGTTTTGAGAATCGCATTGATTTGTTCTATCTGTTTAAAAATTGATTTTTAATCCTTTTATTTTAAATTTTTTTGTAATTTAATCGTTTCTGTTCTTTTTTAATTTATTTTTAAAACAATAATTAAAAAAATAAAAAATTGATAATAAAAAAAACTAAAATTATTTGAAATAAAATAATATTAAATTAAGTATAATCAACCCCGATTAATAGATTAAATTGTTGATTTTTGAAACGAAAAAAACTAATTAATTTGTTTATTGCAAATAGTGAGAGACTAATTTATAATTTACTCTCTTAATTAACTACCAATTCAATTGCTAACAGCATTTTTTTTCAATCTCTACTCTTTGATGGTGCTTTTAATGCATCAAATATCTAGCTTTACCAACGTACCAATTCCTTGATTTAACGGTGATTCATTAGTCGTACACCATTTGGTCACATTTTTTGTTCTAGGCCGACTCATTGTTTTTGGATTGCACAATATTTTAGCATATGATGCTACAAAGATGGATTGTTCCTCTGGTGTGTGACTAAATAGTCACCTGATAGCAGAAAACCTACATACTGCCATCATTATGAATGCTAAAATAATTTGATTATGTTGACAAACGTCGTACTCCTTAGTTATATGTTAGAAGTTTGGTCTTTAACCCATTTTTTTCTCTTTATGTGGAGATCATTGCTTACTCACACATTGTTGAAAATCAGTCGGTTGTTGCAAAAAAATAAAATAATAATAAATAAATAAATAAAGTAAAACCTATGGTTACTATTTATCATATTATTTTGAAATATTGTCACCTAAAGTCATGTATTATTTACTCGGACTCATATGCATTAATTATATTTACTATATAGTGGTATTTTTGTAGTTTTAAAACATTTTTAAGACATTTATTATAAAAGTTTTATAACATTACACCTTGGTTCCTCTTTTTAAAATATTATTTTTTAAATCCGTAAATATTTTTTGTTTGATTTCAATCTCTCTTTTTTGTTTTATTTTAGTAAATTTGATCCTTTTTTTCTTTGATTTTAAAAATTTATGAAAAATATAAAGAATAATCAATCAAATATAAAATTTGATTAAAAATTATAAAATTGAATGAATTTTTATTTAATTTTGATTTGCTATATTTTAGTATATGTACAATATAACATGAAATATTAAATTAAAATAATTTATAAAAAATAATTTTATATGTTATGTTTGATCCGTAGCATAGCGGGGATAAAAAATCTAATCTTATACTATTCGAATCGAACATTTTTAATTTTTTTATCCAGTTGTGTTAACAATTGAATTTTATATTATTCAAAATTAGGACAAAGAAGTTTTTGTTTATCTGACTAATCATGTAATAACATGTATTTAATAGAATTAGATGAAAAAATTAATTTTTTCAATTTTAAATAATATAGAATTATTTGATTTGTGATATAACTTAATAGAATGATTAAAATGATCAAAACTAGAAAGTACAATGATTAAAATGATCAAAACTAGAAAGTACAAGATCAAGAGGTGATTTTTCACTCCCATTGTCCTCACAATGTTGCTCTTATACGTTTCGTACATGGCAGACCGGGAGATGTTCCCTCAATTATTGGTGTTCGTGACGTGAGGACAACACCCAGTCCTGTTTTTTGTTTTTGTTTTTTTTTCCTCTCCTCCGAATAATGGGAAGCCTGTCTTTGAAGCATGGAGACATGTAAGAAGGTCCCAGCTAAGGAAACAAACAGAAGATGATGAATGATGGTGGTGGGTCTAATGAATCGTAAAGGTTGAGGTACGCGTAACTTTTGATTGGAAATTTAACTTTTGAATTACATGAGACTATTGACAATTAATTATCGACAATTGTAGAATCGGTGACCACATGAGTCACAAAAACAAACTATTAACTAATAAAAAAAACTATAATAAAATGATGAATTGATATTTATTGTACTATTTAAAATATATTTTATTTAGATTTATTCGTGCTATTCAGCAAAATATAGATGTATTATTTCTTTTATTATATAGTGGTATTTTTATAAATTTTAAATTTTAAAAAAATATTAATTATGAAAATTTTTGTGACATTACACTATAATTCTTATTTTTTTAGTCCATAAATATTTTTTATTTCATTTTAATCCCTCTTTTTATTTCATTTTGATCATTTTGATCCTTTCATTTTTTTTCTGTTTTTTTTAATTAAAAATTTTAAGGTAAAAATTTTTTTTTAAAAAAATAATTTACGAAATAATTTTTTTTCTAAGAATCAATTGATTTTGATATTTTTATAATATTTTAAATTTTTTAGTTTGTGAATAGAGATAAATAAATAATATTTTAAAAATTTATGAAAAATATAAAAAATAATTAGTCAAATTCAAAATTTTAATTAACAAATTTGAATGAATTTTTATTTAATTTTAACTTGATAGATTTTAGTATATATATAATATAAGAAAAAAGATCAAATCAAAATATTTTTTAAAAAATATTTTTATGTATCCGATCTGTAACGTACTATAGATGGAAAAAAAATACATATCTAATGATTGAATCGATGAATTTTGGTTTTGGGGAGAGGAGATTGCTGTCTTGGATCTCGAGTCATGCAGGTGTTGATAAGAGTGTGCGTTTCCCTTTCGTGTCTGTTTCACTATCAGTCAAAACCTTGTCTGGTTTTCTTCACTATTTGGCTGAGATTGACAACCATTTGAAATTACAGATCTCGCTGCGAACATATTCAAGAACCATCTTGTAAATTCTTGAAAGGAACATAACATTAGTGGAATAGTTGGCTGAAAATGAAACTTTGGATAGCAAGCAGGCAACGAATAATTTTGACCATCCATCCTTATGAAGTTAAAACTCTTGTATTAGGATTTAGGCACATTTATTATTATTTTTTTGATGAAAAAAACAAAATCTGAAAAAGAGAGCGCAGCACGACAAAACTTCTCAAGAAGACTTCCATCTTAATATTAATCTCGTCCAAACACGTATAACTTCAGAGTTATGATAGAATCCGATGCATTAGTACTATGATCCCATCCATTTGGACACATTTTATCGATTATATGTTTTACTATTATCTAGAACCCTTTTGACATCAGAGTTTGCTGAATAGACTATAAAATACAACGCAAAGTTTTATTCATAGTCTGATGAGTTTATCTATATTCTCAAACTGCAACCAAAGGTAGTAATCTCAAATGACCCTACACGCGTTTTTTAATAATAATTGTGGATTAGCCACTGCTATAGTTCCAGGATCCGAGCATTTATGATGGTGCTTGTCATCTTGATTGGCTCCTTTCTGGTAACGTGTCTCATTGCTTTTCCACATTCGTGATTAGAATACCAAGACAATGTTTTTATCATGAAAGAAGGTGGGTTTCACCTAATTACTTTGGTCTCGCTAAGAATGTTGCTTTCACTTATTTATCTTTATCAGTTGGCTTTTAACGCTCGAGTGACAAATTTTGCATAGTACTTATCAAAGACAAGGATTTTGGCTAAAGACACTGCCTTGCTGCCAATAGAAATTGTAAATGGTGGGGTCTATTTGTCAGGTTTTGGTCATTTATGTGGTTGACTAGCAGGGTTATCACCTTGTCATGGATTGGCAGCTTCTGGAAACAGAGTTGACTAGGAGAGCTTTATGCCCTCATGGGCTCTAAGAGCTCCACTGAATGGGAGGTGGAATATGACATATCCCACTGGCGAATGGATTCATACCAAGGTAAGTTTTCTCTTCAATTTCTTTCATTTCTCCCTTCCTCTCTCTCCAATTAGGGATAAGAAATTGGGAATTGCAAACCTTTATTCTGATACTCCATCAGCATCAATGGAGGAATTAGAAAAATCTTATCGAAAGCTGGTATAGTGCCATCAGTGAACTGGACCCTTCATCCAATCCTTGCACAATAGGTCATTTCATTAGTCATCTATCACTATAGTAGAAAATTATTATCCCAATACTTTTAACTACTATTAATAATTCTCACAAAAATAGATGAAGTAGGTAATGCATGACAACAGGCTGCATGGCATGGAAAGATGCTCACTTCATCTTTCCCCAAGTTGTGGTCCTTTGTTTAGAAACCAACTCGTACAACTTGTTGCTTTTTTTGACTATTTTAACTTAGCATAAACAGCTTCTCTTTATTACTTGTTTAGGTCCAGTATGCGTTTGGCAGAGATTAAAACCCTACGATTGCTACTTCTGGATGGAATAAAACTTCAAATCAGAATTGTGCTATGTAGTCCCACAAAACCCTTTTCTTTTTTTCTTTTTTCTAGACCTCAAATGAATATGAAATGATCTTTTTCAATTTGGATTGCATTTGGAAGAGCAAGTTCATCATGTCAGCGGTAAATATAACTCAACCAAATAAAAGAAGCATAGCCAACGGAAACAGGATCACAGGGAAACATATGGTCTTTAGACAGATAAATGTTGGGATTTGGACACAGGAATAGCAGTGAGTTGAACTGTCCAATTTCAACTTGATTACAAGAGCAAGTAAGCTGTGGAGTTAATTAAGCTGATGCCATGACCCATAAATGCAGTTGAAATCTGTCTCTAAATTCACTGAGCACAACTTCCCAACTGTCTATTAAATTGCTTTGATGCCAAGTCCCAAATTCACCTAACAAAATTTCAATGTTTCGGCATGTGCTTTTCTTATGTAGGTCCAGCAATCTGGCCCTTTCCCTTTCCTTTACTGAAATCATAATGGCCCGCTCCGCCGCTTTTCTCTCTTTCTTCCCATCTCTCCGGTGAAAAACTAGGGGACCTAGCTAGTTCTAGCAGCACTGAGAAGTCGTAGACTTACCTCTGTAAATTTATCATCGCGAACAGATAGAGAAAGAGATGCATAGAAATAGGCTTTAACTCCACTTAGTTGTGTAGTTACATCATCAAGTACACAGAGAAATCTCTGACCAGAAAAAAAAAAAAAAAAAGAGAGAGAGAGAGAGAAATCTGAGACCTATTACAGTGGCTTTACACTTTCCTTCACTGAACTTGCAATATTTTCTTCGTTCTCAGTCTCTTTTTCTGGTGAACACTTGGGGTCCATCCTCCAGCAGTACTAAGAAATCATAGATTAAAACATATGTAGAAATAGACTTAGCTGCACTTAGTTGTAAATTAAGTTACATTATCAAGTGGGAAGAAAGAAGATTTTAGTGTATATATATTAAAAAATATACTGGGAATTTAGGCCTAAGTTGGACATAGAAAACCATGAAACTTAAATTTATAAACAAATCGAAGTGTCATGGCTTGTGATGCTGGGTGTAGATGTAGTCCAAATGAGCCTCTGCAATTATCCTTCTCTTTAAGCATTCCTCGTCTCCATTATGACATAGCTCTAACCCCATTAGCTCCTGAAAACATATAAACGAAAACAACAAAACCTGATAAGCTGTAGTTCATTTATGTCGAAATTGGGAGACAGAAAAAAGTTGAAGCTTACATTAATTGATTCACTGTTCTCAATTTGCGCAAGAGTTCCTTCACTGCTGATATTATTGAGTTTTACCTCCTCTTGCCCTGCAAAACATGCAAAAAACTTCAGTTTCTGAAAACAGATCGAAAACTCTTCTCAGTTCTCAACAAAGAAGTAGGGGTAGAAGAGGAGGATCGACGAGGAGGAATCCTACCTTGTTGGCTTGATAGGAAACGTGCCGATATTTCAGAGGAATGAACAAGGACAAGAAGGAAGAGGAGAAGAGCTCTGTAACTCAGGCTTTGCTTCATGGTTTTGGCCTTTTAGGTTCTGTTCCACACACACAAGCAGAGAGTTCAGACTTTAAAGAGATGGGAGTTGGGAGTTGGGGTGGTGGAGGAAGATATGTCCATATAAATACATGCAGAGAAAGCTAAATTAAACGCTGTAAGAAGTAAGAAGGGTCACATGAAGGTCCCAAAAGAATGCCGTTACAGTACCTCATCACCATGTGGGACCGACCACCCTCAGTAAACTGCACTCCATTCTTGTGTGCTAACACCATTATTGGGATCAAAGAGAAGAAAAGCTTTGGTCACTGCCTGCCATAGTGGTCCTCCCAAAGTCCAAACATTAAGGTCAAAAAAAAAAAAAAAAAAACTATCTGTATTAAAAAATTTCTAATTTTATTTTCTAGACAATATAATTTTTGAATTTATCTTTTGTCTTGGGATGCTATTGAGAAGTTGATTAAAAAAAAAACTCTTAAAAATTCTCCAATTTCTTCTCTGTTTTTTTTTTATTATTAGTGAAAACATCTTTTTAAATTAGTATGAAAATGGTAAGGATTTCAGAATCCTAACAGAGAAAGAGAGTGTAAGTTTACAAAAGAGGTAAAATCAGAAATTTTTTAATTTAAGAGTATTTGTTTTTTCACTTTAACTTAAGGATATTTTATAATGTAGAAAAAAAAAAAACAATGTGATAGTGGTTGACAGTGTCAGCAAGTCAACCTTTGGAGATGAACACAGCTGTTGCCCATCATCACATGTTGTACCTTTCACAAGCCAATGACACGCAGCAATGTTTCCTATGCTGTCTTAAAATATGAATAAATAACGTATAAAAGCAAAAGCATTTCCATGCACACTTTAAAATCCGTGAATGAAATTGTTCCCACATGTAAAACAACTAAAATGGTGGCAACACCACCTATGGCTTCAGTGGTGGAGTCCTTCTTTTCCATTACCATCGGTTCCAATGGATTTGTACCAAACTCTTTTTCTCGTATAAGATTGTCGGCCTATTTTGAGTTTTTCTATGTGCGGAATCTATTCTGGTGCTACGCATGCAAGATTTTGAAATTTTCTCAATTTTTTTTTTGACAAACCTTTAAAAAAAAAAAACCCTTAATTGTATAAGATGGTTTCAATTTTGATACACCAGATAAATTTTTGTATCAATTATTTTTAAGTTTTAGAAATTTCCAATGTTTAATTTTTTTCGCTTATATTTTTTCATGAAATCCATACATATTGTATTTTTTAAAATAAAAAATAACATCATTTTATAGGAAATTTTTTTTTTTTTGATCGAGGAGTGACAGTAGAAGAACTCGATTGAAAATTCAAATTGTTTGGAGATAAAATTGATTCTGCTATTGATCATTGACAATCACATGCAAAAGGATGGATGACCTCCGTGTATCTTAAAGCCATGTGTTTATTTAGGATGGTGGAATGCCACTATATTTTTTTATTTTGCCACTATTAATTGGCTTGGTTTTATCGCTTTTCGATAAGGTGATCGAGTATTTTAAAATGTTTAGAAGATATGCTTCTCTTTTACAAGATTTGAATCTTTCATTTGTTGCATAAAGAGTAAAAAATTCCACAAGAAAGCAATTTGTTGGTTTGGATTATTTGAAGGCTTATATTTATTAAATCATCTAATTCTATTGACAATTGAGCTGGAAAATCGATGGTTTATGTCCGCTATTCTCAGACAAATCCGAATAGAAAAAAATTGATGTAGTATGAAAAGCCTTAGTCTATTTTCATGTCAGTGATGGTAGAATATCTATGTGACATTGGCATTGGATAATGATATTGTTCGTCTTTTTTTATATATATATTTATTTAAACTACCAGCAATGATGTGCATGTTCAATTTACGAGTAATTAATAAATTAGTTTCGTTAATTTCAAAAAATAAATTAATTGACCCCTCTCATTTTAAAAAATTATTATTTAGTTTTTTAATAAGTGTTAAATCATGTTTAATTTAATATTATTTTTATTTCATAAAATTTTTTTATTTTCTCATCAATCTTTTAATATTTTTAATATTTTTTATAAAAAATTAAAATTAGCAAAAAACCTAAATTACTAATAAATTTCAAAATATATAAACTAAATAATTAATTTTTAAAATAAAAAGGACTAATTAATTTTTTTTCAAAATGAGAAGTACTGATTTATAATTTACTCTTCAATTTATTTAGATCTGTGCTTTCCTTAAAAAAAAAAAAAAAAAAGTTTGAGGGATAAATGATAATACTTGGGCAAAACTTCTTTTTTTCGTGAAAGTGGCGGCAGGTGTCTATGCGCCTACGGTATCATTGGTTGCATTAAGAATATCACGCGGTTGCTCTCCTTATACGAACATTACTGATGATATCCAGATGACAACTGGCACATGGGACGCCTTGTCTTCAATCGAGCTCTTTCCTCCGGACCCTAATGACCATCGGTCATATCTCGAAGAGATCAAGACCCGTACTGTTTTTCCGGGCGTATATTTCGGACGATAAAGATATTATTTATTTATTAGATAAAAAATACACTCACTTAAACAAATGCATACTCTCTAGCAACATTTGTCCATGTGACACCAACCATAACGACATAATATTAATTCATTATAAAAAAAAATCTTTATTCTCTAAATCTTTACAACAGCAAGGGACAAAGCATTCTACAATTTTCTTCGTGCAATTTGACCAAATTTTCGCTTATATAAACATCCTAAAAGCTAAAGGCTTCGTGTTTCGACTCTCTAAGCACTTACTTTTTATTATTTATTATCATTTGCAAGCTCATTACGATATGTAATAACCCTACTCAAATATCTCTTTTCTCTGTACATTTACTTATTATTAAAGAATCTCTCAACTAACTAGAAAAACTTATTTTAAATTTATTTTGAATAGATTAGATAATTGATGATAAACAATTATCATCGTTTCTTAATTCATAAAAGAGACACGTCATCACTATTGTTGCATCTAAGATTTCTGACATCATAAATTAGTATAATATTTATTTATTTATTGATACATGGATTGAAGATGCTATATGTTATATTTACATGAGCATAAAAAAAAAGTATAACAATTTTCTCATTTCATTTAACAAATGCATTAAACTGATTAAATTATTTTTAAGGATATATTCTCATGAGAAACAGTCTCTAATTACGCACTGGACTTAAAAGTTGATTTGATTGTCAAATTTGTGAGAATTCCATACATAAGAAGAGAGATGTCTAGAAATTTTTCTTTGGTTAAATGGATCGAATTTTCCTATAACTTAAGTTTATTTAAAACTCAGTTTTTAAACTTTTTAATTTTGAATTTGAATTCTTCTAAACTTTATTCAAAAGAAAAAATACTCTAATTTTTATTTTTTTGTGAAAAAAAGAATAACGGTTATATAAATAACTCCACATAAAAATCAATAAATAAAATTTATCTAAAGCTCCGCATAAAAAAAAAATGGAATCATTTCAAGTTATTTTTTATTTTTATGATACTTATAAAATAAAAAAAATATTTTCATGTCTTGAAAAATTTTAAGATTTTTTTCAAAAAATAAATTGGATTTTTTTTCTAACATATGTGTAAAATTTTAGCTCAAAATATCAAAACTTGAATTTTTTAGAGGAAAGAGTGAAAGTCGAAAATCATAAAATAAGTTAAATCTAAAAATTTGAAAAAAAAAAGAGAAATCAAATCCGAAATTAGAAATTTAAAAATTGATTTTCAATTGAACTGAAAATCATAGAAGGTTTTAACCATTTATCCCTTTTTTTTCTTTTTCTTTTTTACTACAAGAAAATGGTTCACGCCCTTTAAATGCTTGTTAGATAGAATTCAGACAGACATGTAGCTAACTCGACACTGCTATTAATTGAAGCATAAATAAGGGTTCTTGCATACCCATGAAGGTAGAATTTGTACCATGATACGAATTCTCATCCATCTCTCAAGCAATTAGCTATTTTACAGTATAGAAAGTTGCTCCATTGCCTTTTTAGTTGGCAGCTTTTAAATGCAGGATGCATATTTTTGGTAAGAAGAGCTCGTCTCTCAAGGATTGACATTTTAAAAAGGGAAATTAGATTTCAGTTCATATTTCTCTTGGTTCCAATCAATCAGCCAAACATCTCACTGTAAACGGCGAATATGCACCTGATAATTTATCGGGAAGAGCAAAGATGAGATTGATTGTTCTTGCATCCTTTTGGCTGTTTGCACTGCAAAAGAACCTTTTCTTGTTTTGTTTTGCAATATTTCAAACAAGTCTTTCTTGACTTGCCAGTCTGAGGGTCATTCTATAAACTTCATGCACAACAAAGGCGTACAGAATCATTAAAGCAGTTCATCCATCACTGTGGAAAAAGTCATCAAGATTCTGCTAATGAGGTGCTTTATTTTTCATGTAGTGGTTCTGTTTTTGGGTCCTACGTAGATTAACCTTGTTGGGATTGACCCAGAAAAATGTTACCTTGTTTGTACAATGGCCCATTCAGATTTGATTAATGGTACGACTACCTATGGAATTGATTTCATGGGCCGGCACGTAGTAATTGGGCTTTATATATCCTTCTAAGGAGTCGAGACTTATAAGCTAAACTGATTCTGTTTTTTTTTTTTTAAGAAAAAAGAATAATCCCTTATTTTCCACAGAAGAAGTGCGGGACGAACTTCTTATTTTTCTTTTACCCAAATAAAGCCTCGATATATTTCAACCAGGAAGCCAAAAAATTGAAAGTAATAGAAAAGAAGGCAGATTACATAGCTTGCGGGCAAGGAAATGTTGTTAAGATTGGTGATTAGGATATCGAAAGCTGATTTCGAACTCTAAATCTGCCTCTATCCCTTGCTTAATGTGCAGGGTGGGAAATTATTCGTATCAACAGGTTGCGACAAAATGGGTAAAAGAGGACACACTGTAGAAATCAATAACAGAACAATAGACAAGATATACAGAAAACGGGTTATCGAAGTTCTGTATTAATTTTTTTTATA